CTTTGATAAATTTTTTTAAAATTGATTGGGGGTGCCATATGGAACTCTTACCAATTATTTTTCCCTTTCAGTACAACCTAATAACTTCTGATCAAAGCAAAATACTTTCATAGAATTAAAAATTAATCATTAAGTACTGTAGGTAATTTAACATTCTGGTATAATTATGAGTTAGCACTATTACAAATTTATTTTTCGAGAATAGTGGCCAATGACACTTTTTCTTCACCTATCCAGTGTATAGGTTTTTTCTTATAGTGACTACAAAGCACATTCACACCAACAGTATGCTTGTTAACTACTACACTTGTAGAGGTTTATTAGGTATGGCTAGACAGATTTACTTAAAATTGACAATATGTAAATAGTCAATCAAACAGTGTGCAAAGGGTTTTACATTGAGCTGAGCTGTTAGCTCTGTTAATGAATATAGTCATGTAAAATAATTGATTAATCAAATTTTGATCAAATCAATAGATCTAATGAAAATTATCATCTAGTTTTTGTGATTATTACAGTTTTTAATAACTCCAACTATTTATTAATCGAAATATTGCCATTATGTTTGTTTGTTATTATTTGTTGGATCTAGAGACTGTAAATATCATGATGAATGAACACCATAGTTTCTTCATTCTTAGTACAAATCTTATTGGGATGTCAGCAATTAGTACATTTTAAGTTCATTTACTAAGCTTTGGTATTGAGTGAAGGTACAGTTTGATTGCCGGAATGGGATTATACTGTTTAATATGTATAACTAAATCGTCGTGATATTCTTCATTTACAAATGATTCACAATCAATGAGTATTGGATTGTAAACTTAGAACAAGCTTTATAAGACACAATATCCACACTGTAACTTTAATGATTGTATTGTGAGGTATTAATTTTAACATTTGGACATGTGCCTCATGGTTTAACCAAGCTCTTGGATAATGCTCTTGTATTGTTGGAGAATGCCCTTTTAAGGTGGTGACAAACTTCCTGAAAATATATTATAATAATAAGGATAATAATAATTTATTACTTGGGAAATACACTCTGAAAGTTTAAATAACTGTAGTGAAAACAATTTAATGCTGAGTGTAATGTCTCAATGTACAGGATGGTAAAGTCCATGGGCATCCACAGGAAGTTTTCCAAGTGGTGTGAAATTGTGAATTGAATAAAAAATTCATATGCATATGCTGAATGAATAAAGATAGAATTATGTTTCTCATTTTCCGAGTTTCCTCCCCCCCCCCCCGGGGGGGGGGGG